TTTGGCGCACTCAAGCACATGGCTGCATAGTTGGCGCGGAAATTGATCGACGGCTCTGTCACTTGAAGTATACTTAGAATTTGAAATATGAACGCTTATCTGGGTAAGTACACATACGTGTTCTTAAGTATACTTGAACTCCCGGCATACTTAGGGTCTACTTACTTAGCTAGAATGAACCCACCTAATATTTCAGTCTTTCTCTTCCTGGTTGTTTTTTTTTTCAGGAGCGCTGCCTTCCTTTCTGTGAGTTTTACTTCTAACAGCAATTTTTCTTTCAAAATTGCGTGGTTAGCCTCTGTCCATCAACCTCTTTTGAAATCTGAAATACTTCCTCAGAGGAGTTTGTTCGTAGGATTCTCAAGGCTTCTCGTTTGTCAAACAGGCGCTTTAACAATTGGTGGGTGATAAGAGTTGAAAATGTATATACTGTAAGGTTTCCGTTCAAATGAGTCTTTACGTCAAGGATAGCTTTTTCTCATTTTTTCGCTGAATGTTGTACCTTGGTATACAACCGTTTCTAAAAAGAATGTCTCATTTTCAGATCTTTCGGCCGTGAATTTCATAGGAGGGCATGTAAGTTTACTTGTTCCGCGAAGAAACCTACGATGTCTGGTTTACTTATGTCCCATAGGGAAAAAATGTCATTTATGTAGCGTTTTCAAACAGTTGGTTTAAAGACGGTTTTGCTTAAACTTCGTGTTTCAATATGTGTCATGAAAATGTTGGAAAGGAAACTGCCGTCTTTGTGCTCACTGCGGTAACGTGGGTTTGTACTGATAGTTCTTTACGTTAAACGGGAAAGAATTTTCTTTGAGGATTAATCTAAGCAAAAAACGTTCGGTTTTTTCACCTTTGACTTTTCAATAAAATTTATAAAGTCGGTAGCATCTTTAAGGTGTGACTTTGTGATTTTGGTAGTGACTGTAGCAATGTACCTGTATCAACAACAAAAAAAGGAAATTCTTTCCCTTAGGCCATCTGACGAGTCATAAATTTAAAGAGGTTACTTACTTCCTCGAGCTAACGGTTAGATTAAATACAAAATGCTCTTTTTTCTGGAAACAAATATTGATAATATCAGCCCATGTCGGTAGTCGGTTAATATTTTTCCTGTCGGTAGTCGGTAATTTTTTACTCATTTTGTCGGTAGTCAGTAATATTTTTCGCCCTTTGTCGCTAGTCGGTTAACCCCATTCACACCCTCTTAAATGTGAAACCTAGACGAGTACTGTAAGCTCATCTTTAATTCTGTCCGACTCCGTCCGTTGTTTTGAAACTTTTTGATCACTGGGGCGATGTTTTGATTTGTTTGTTGATAAACACAAGCCCGCCATCTCATTGGTTAAAAAGTGGCGCGTGACCAGTTGGCCCTGTCCTTAAATTTAGGGATATTCCGGACTGATTATTTACAAGATCAAATGTGGTAAAGGCAAGGAAGCCTATATAGAAGCCAGGGGCTTATAAACTATAGGCTTCCTGGAACTATAGGGTAAACCATACAAGTTAAGGGTACTGAATGAAAATTTGGATTAATTTCTTTTTAATTACATGTTTACAAGTCTCCTGTAATCAGGGCTGGGGCAACATAGCGGGACACCCCTTAATGAAAATTTGGATTAATTTTTCTTTAAATACATGTTTACAAGTCTCCTGTAATCAGGGCTGGAGCAACATAGCGGGAGACCCCCTTCCTTTCTTGTAATGCCCCTCCCTCCCCCCATTTTTTTCCAATTCAAGTACGGTGTCATGGGTCTCATTATATTTACAGTCAAACCGTGTTATACGGACACTGAGTGGACCGTACAAATTGTCCATTTTAATGGACCTTTTTACCGATACGGCGGCCATATTGAATTAATTCGATTTAAGGAGTATTATAGGATGCCCAGGGGGCATGAGCACATTTCTTTTGTATTTTCAAGCGCTTTTCGGGACAGTTTTTCTTAAAGTTTTCTTAGAATAAGTTTGTAATGGGAAAAAAGATCCTTGCGCCGTGTTTGGATGTAATAATGTTCGCCTTTTTCTAGTTTAGTATTAGAAATATGGCCTTCCACTGTATATTTCTCGGGAAAAAGGCGATGATTATTACATCCAAACACGACACAATGATCTTTTTTCCCATTACAATCTTATTCTAAGAAAACTTTAGGAAAAAATGTCCCGAAAAGCGCTCGAAAAAACAAACGAAATGTGCTCATGCCCCCTGGGCATCCTATAATACTCCTTAAATCGAATTAATTCAATATGGCCGCCGTATCGGTAAAAAGGTCTATTCAGAGAACATTTAAGGGCTTTTTTCCAGGGAACAAAGTGAGCTGTCTGTAATGATGAGCAAGGCTGTGCTCTAAGGAACATTGAAAGGAGCCCAGTTCTCTGAACCTGTAACATCTACGCTGCCCAGCATATGATTTGAATGAAAAGTCTGAGATTTTCTAGTCACCCAAGAGGAAACGTTAGGCGCCAGGGGCCAGCGGGCCCTGCTTGAGCACAACCTTGATGAGGTGTCTGTGTTAAGTGGTTGTCCGTAAAGTGGGATTTTGGGTTTGCCAGTTATTGTGGTGGTGGATCCTGGTAGTACAGTAAAACCCTGTGACTTAGAACCTGAATTTTAAGAACCTGTTAGGCTAAAATATGCCAGATGAGCCCCCCTCTATATTAAAACCTGTTCAGCCTAAAATTTGAAACAGGTTCTTATTTTTGAAATCTATGAAAAAATTCTGTACACTTAAGCAAAGATAAATCAAAATTTAGAATCTTCTTTGGAGACAAAGCTGTCTTACCACTCCAACTGCAATGTAAAATGCCAATGTTTAAATTGAATAAAATTGTTATATTGATACAATTACAAATTAAATACATTCCTCTTTTTATGTCCATTCTCACATAACTTCTAATTTGGTATGCAGGCTTTATATGAGGAATAAGGTAAAACACAAATACTCTTAACTAGATTTTTTCTTCAGAAAATATGAACCCATTTAAAAACCTAACTAGCCTAAACTTGTGCTAACTACTATTTATATAAGAACCTGTTTAGGCTTACTTGGTTAGTTTAGGTTCTTGCTCTCATGGTTTTACTGCCCTATTGTTCCACTTTTTATATTTCCTTTCCCTGTCACCATTTTCTCAGCCTTGGTCCTCCAATATCAAAAGTACATTCAATGATGAAGCAATTTATATTTTAACTCAAGCCAACAAAATATCCAAATCGCTTGATATATCTTAAACAGTGGAAACGATAAACAGATTTACGGACATCACTTAGCCTGTGTGGCAGGCATTTCAAAGGGAAGGGAAAGTGGGTTTTTTGGTGCAAGAGAAACATGAGGGAAGGAGGGAGGAAAATACCTGCCAGGAGACTGTTTTTTTTGCATTATAAACATCAACCAGGTGAATGTTGAAGTCACTCCCTCCTTCCTCGTGCACTCGTCGCATTTCTCTAGTGCCCAAAACCCAGAGGCTAGTCACCATTGAATAAGCAGTTTGTTGCCTAGCTGCCCTGGCAGTATTTCTCAGCATCAGTCAAATCAGTAATCAAATTCATGATACCTTGAAACTGACATGGTCATAACATTACACACACTAGTCTTGGAAGTAGATTTTGATTTTGTTTTTTCAAGAGTGATGATGCATATTTCTCTGAATAAAAGTAAAGTGCAAGCTTGGTGGATGTTACGAAATTCTTCTTCTACACTAAACTATTCTTGCAATTCTCCCAAAAATCAGTAATCATTTTTCATAGAGGATGGCTGGTTTCAAAATGCATAGGGCTTAACTGTATAATCAAACTTATCATTTAATTTAATGTCTGCAATTCGTATCCTGCTGATTTTATACCTACATAAAGGGAATCACATGTATGGCTGCAATGTTATTATGTTTTTTTTAGTCCTATTACAAAAACAGACATTCCTAAATCAGAGTACTCATCAACCTATTTGTATACTAAGTTCGAACATTTTATGCTCACCTAATGACAATGTTGGGAGGAACCAGTCGCCGCTCCCTCGCTATTTTGTGATTAGCTTGTGATAACAACAGTAACACTTCCAGTAACATGTCACATTCGTCTTCGCGAGGCTACATTTTCCCATTAGCACATGCTGGTTTCAATTCGGAAAAAGTATCACCAAACGTGGAGTGCGTTGGGGAGCGATAAAAAATTAGCGCAGAACAAGGTTTGTAGAAACACCGTAAAATAAACTCTACTTTCGACGGGCAATACAATGGAAATTATAGCTTCTTAAAAACCGGGTTCAAATTTCATTCTCTTACAGGAGGAATCTTCGTGCCTCACGTTTTAGATTGAAATGAAGAATAAAGATTTGTTTTTCTTCACAGACAATATCTAAGCAAATATTACCTTATGAAATTGTGAAAAACGATCTAAGGAAAGAACTATATCTATTGAAAAACAAAGCATATAAGCTGCGAAATTTCTCGACCTTCGCCGCCATCTTGAAAATTTTGCATCCACAATGCATCGCAATCATGGTGCGCACACCACCTGGGATCTTATTTAGGTCATATTAATGGCCCCTTTGCGTGAGTTGATCACGTGATCAACTTTCGGTAAACACGAAAACAGCTCATTTTGAAAGAACTTTGTTCGCACAAGCTGAAAGAGCATATGAAAATTAGGTAACCTGAGAATTTTCAGCCGTATATCTCAAAAGCAGCGATTGCAACGGCCGCGGAAAGTTTGAAGCATTTGTATGGAAAAAAAAAAAACAGCTCTTGACACCCGGTCACACTTGCATGGTTTTCCGTACAAATCCTTGTAAATTCTAAATTTTTTAAACTGTCGTTAAATCTATTCCTTACGCACTTCAGGGCTCAAATTGCCTGTTATGAATTAAAAGGAGATTTGAGCCCGTAATGCTTAAGGAAATATTTCACGACAGTTTGCAAAATTTTGAAATTTTGAAGGATTTGTAACGGCAAACCAGGCAAGCGTGACTGGGTAGCAAAAGTTGTTTTTCTCATACAAATGCCCAAAATTCTTCCAAATTTGGTCATCAGTAACTGGTTATGGTCAATTAAACGTGTGCTTTTAGCCAATCAGAATCGGGAAAATATTTTGAATGAATAATAAAACACCTTTAAAAACAGGTTACAACACCACTAATAACAGGTTGAAACACCATTAAAAGCAGGTTAAAACACCATTAAAAACAGGTTAAAACATCTTTAAAAACTGGTTAAAACACCTTAAAAAACAGATTAAAACATCATTAAAAACAGGCTAAAACACCATTGAAAACAGGGTTAGACAGCAATTTAAAGGCAGGTTAAAACACCATTCAAAGCAAGTTAAAGCACCTTTAAAAACAGGTTAAAACACCATTAAACACAGATTAAAACACCATTAAAAATATAATTTGGAACCTGTTTTAAATGAAGTTCTCAAATACAATTAAAATAGTTTTAAAAATATATCAAAAATATGTTAAAAATAGTGTTTGCGCTTCTAACTTTAGGCGGCCTATGCGAACACTACTTTTGAGATATACGCCGGCTAAAAATTCTCAGGTTACCTAATTTTAATACGCTCTTTCAGCTTGTGCTAACAAAATTGAACTGTTTTCGTGTATGATAATAATAATAAAAACTTATATAGCGCAACTTCCATGGCACATGATCAAATGCGCTTTACAATAAGTTAAAAAGAAAGACTAAAAATGAATAAATTTACAAGCAGGTGGAAAGATTTAAAAACGAAATAAAATGATAATAATTGATGAATAATAACATAAACGAAACAAATACACTACTACAAATTAAAAGCTTGTTTAAAAAGTTATGTTTTCACATGGCATTTCAAATTTGAAAGAGAGTCAAGGCTAGATATTTCGCTAGGAAGGTTGTTCCGAGCTTTGGGGCCGCATAACAGAATGCTCTACCACCAAGTGTTGGGAGTATCTTGCCGCTTGGAACCTCAAGCATAACTTTTTTGCTGGATCTGAGGGAATATCCTGTTGATTTCCTTCGGCTGATCAAATTGCAAATATAATCTGGCGCCATGCCGTGAATAGCGAATGTCGTCAATGCAATTTTGCATGGCAGTTATAGCATCTTGTTGACTTGACAATTCATCGGACTTGAAGGACAAATATATTTGTGGATCATCCGCATAACAGTGAGAATTTGGAAGTTGACGTTCAATGATGTTAAATAGCTTTGAAGAGTAGATGATGTACAACAATGGACCAAGACAGGACCCTTGTGGAACGCCCCAGTCAAGAGGGAGACTGTCAGAGAGGGCGCCGGGAATGGAACGCGTTGACTTCTTGCTGACAAGTACGACTTAAACCATTCCAATGGTGCTCCAGAAATTCCAAATAAAGTTTGAAGTCAACGCAACAAAACACTATGATCAACAGTGTCAAAGGCGGGGCTCAGGTCAAGTAACACATGTAGAACAGCATGCTGCGAATTCATTTCCACCAGAATGTCGTTAGTAACTTTCAAAAGTGCTTTTTCTGTACTATGGTTCTTTCTGTAGGCAGATTGTAGTGATGGGTAAAGATCATGTTTCTTCATATGAAACACAGCTCTCTCGGTTACTTTTGAGACGAAGGAAAGATTGCTTACAGGCCGATAATTCTTAAAAACAGTGTCAAGACCATTCTTCTTAAGAATCGGTTGAACCAAAGCCTCTTCCCATGCTGAGAGAAAATGGCCACTTTCAAGTGAAATATTAACCATTTTAGTTATGACTGGTAAGAAGACATCATTCACTTGACCAGCAGGGGTGTAGGTAATAATAATAATAATATACAGTATTTATAGAGCGCTAATTCTCAATGGTCCAAAAGCGCTTTGCATAATAAAAATAACAACAAAACCCTAAACCTACAAAACTACATTGTCATTCTATAAAAATTCCCAATGGTCCAAAAGCGCTTTACATAATAAAAATAACAACAAAATCCTAAACCTACAAAACTACAAAACTACATTGTCATCCTATAAAAACATCATCATTCTATACGACAACATCATAACCAATTTTAAAAAGCCAAGTCTTGAGCTTAGATTTAAAAGAAGAAAGGGAATTACAAGATCTAAGTTCCAATGGAAGTGCATTCCAAACAGAAGGTGAATAAGCCTAGCAGCACTATTTAGGACACTCTGTAAACGTTTCAAGATACATTTAGGCTGACCGTAGAGCAATGAGTTACAATGGTCGATCCTTGCAGTAACAAAGGCATGAACTAGAGTTTTAAAAAGAAAGAAACTTGCGAATCTTAAAAATATTGCGTAAATGAAAAAACGAAGACTTGCAAACAGCAGTAACGCGCGGCAACATCGATAGAGAGTTATTAAAAATAACCCCAATATTTTTAGCAGTAGTTGAACAGTCAACAGTGTCAGAGGCAATCACCAGGTTTTTTAACGCAGGACGTGGGCGATAGGAAGATGAAAAAACTATAATTTCAGTCTTCCCACAGTTCAGCTTCAGCTTGTTATTTAACATCCAAAGATCAATATCTTTAACACAATCTTCAAGAGCAGATGTACATGTTAACAAATCCTCAGGCGATGACGTTTCAAAAGATAAATATAGCTGTGTATCATCAGCATAAAAGTGATAAGATAGACCATGAGATCTTGCAATATCACCTAAGGGGGAAGTGAACAAAGAATAGAGCAAGGGGCCCAACACGGAACCCTGAGGTACACCATAAGGTAAGGCATGCACATCAGAAGAGACATCTTGGATTCTGACATATTGAGTGCGATCAGATAGATATGAACGAAACCAGTCCAGTGCCTGGTCACAAATGCCAAAACGGGTAGATAGTCTAGCAAGGAGAAGAGAATGATCAACTGTACCAAAAGCAGCAGACGGGTCCAGTAGAACCAAAACAACAGATTTTTGATTGTCAATGGACATAGCAATGTCATTGGAGACTCTGAGAAGAGCCGTTTCGGTGCTATGGTGAGCACGGTAGGCAGACTGAAAGACTTCACACAGACCATTGTTGTCAATGTAGTCAACAAGCTGCAAAGCCACTACTTTCTCAATGACTTTGGACAAGAAGGTGAGGTTAGAGATCGGCCGAAAGTTCTTAAATTCTTGATAATCAAGACTCGCCTTTTCCAATAAAGGAGGAATTACAGCTTGTTTAAGTTCAGTGGGCATGACAGAGGTCTCCAAAGACAGCTTAACAATTTTCCAGATCACAGGGCAAAGGAGATCAAGACAACCAAGGAGTATTCTAGAGGGGACAGGGTCAAGTTCACAAGACTTTGATGCCAAAGGGTGCACAATCTGAAGTAAGGTCGAATATGAAGGACAGCTCAAACGATGGAGTCTAGTTGTTGCTACTGTGACTTCATTAAATAAATAAGTTCCCTGCATAGGGTTCGATTCCAGTTCATGTCGAATAGTAATAATCTTCTCACCAAAAAAGCCAATGAATCTATTTGCAAGATCCGCCACGGAAGAGCAAGATGGATACTGCGGTGCAGGACTCCGATGTAACAACTTACCGACAATGCCAAACAGTTTCCTCTGATTAAGGCAATTATCATCAATAAGCTTGGTGTAATATTGCGAGCGGACAGAGAGTAATAGCTCATTGACAATACGATTTTGTACAATAAAACGCAGACGATCTTCGGGCAATCTAGTCCTACGACATCTCCTTTCCAGTCGGCGACGAACTCTTCTCTCCAGTTTAATCTCCTCACTAAACCATGGAGCAGCGGGACGTATGGTAACCATGCGCGATTTTAATGGCGCATGCTTATCCAAAACACTAGATAACTCCGAATTATACAAGTGAAGCAGCGTAAGTAAATCATTGGATGATTCAGACAAAAGAGGAGACAGTGCAACATCTTGTCGAAAATGCTCCAAGTTGATGGCTTTTAATTTCCGACCACAAATACGCTTCCTTTCCCAATTAGGTAATGGGATCGACAGCACACGATTTCTTGGCAAAATTCACGATAATGCTGTAAGTTTCATCTTCTGTAATTTGCTTTAAAGCTGCCAAATGACGGACAATGTTGTTTCATGATGGGGGGCAGAATCTTGACAATCCTGAATTGTACACTCATGGAATTTAGATCTTGTATAATTACTGATCTTTTCAACGAAGAAATTAGCCATCTCATTTGCTAACATCGATTTACTTACGTGCGAAGCTTTGATTTAACAACTGCTTCGAGATCTTAAAGAGCTTTTCTTGATCCGAACTATTTTCTTGAATAAGGTTCTCATAGAAGTCAGAACGTACTTTTTTAAATCAAATCAGGGTAGCGAGGTTTCTTGCAGATTTGTATTCTTTTAGGTCGTGTGTAGAATTTGATGAGCGCTATTTTCTTTCTGCTTTCCTTCTCATCCTTTTTGCAGCTAAAATCTGATCGCTTTGCCAGGGTACGCGATGCCTTTGGTGATGATTTTTTCTTTGCATTTAAGCGGAGCGTGTTTGTCAAGAACATATGTCAATGTCTTATTGTAACATTCAACAAGCTCATTAAACTCCTTGTGGGTTTCTTGGCACAGTTCAGAAACTGCAAGATCATTTCGAAAAGTGTCCAGATAAATTGATTTAATTTTCCTGTAAACCCGTTCCTTTGATGTGATTACCGGTTTAGTTGCTCTTAACGTTGTCAACACAATTAAATGATCTGAGAACAAATGATCCACGGTAGGTGAGCCGTGGATGATGGAATATGATTGACGCGTGATAATTAAGTTAATTTTGTGCCCGAGTTCATGTGTTGATTGGGTAGCATGCTGACAAAGACCCAACGAATCTAACAGATCTAACAGTTTTGTTGCGTAGGGATCATTTGAATAATCATCTTGAACACTGAAATCGCCGGTAATAACTAACGTTTCAGCTTAGAGAATTAAGGTTTTCTAAATTTGATCCCGTGATCAAGTCATGCTATTACTGTTAACTGAACACTTATTCGACGTTCGCGAAGGTGCAAAAGTTTACATTCTTTTGGTCTTGGGTTCTATTGCAAAATGCAAGTCACATTTCAAAAGAATGCCTGAAATAGAAAGATACAACTGTACTTACTTTCACAATAAAATTCTTGTGTCGTCCAGTTCCCTTCATTGCATTCTCGTGAACCGTTTCCTACCGATTTATAACCAATTTGACAACCCAGCACAAACGTTTCACCAGTGCGATAGCGCGTCTTTCCATTCTCTGGCACTTGGGCGTGTTTAATAGTGACATGTGAAAGATTGCAGGGAATAGCTACAAAATATGGAAAACAGGAAATAGCTCTCATTTTCCACAATTCCAGCAAAGCCGTTTATAACGTCTTTACTAACCAGCAAGTGACTCAAGTTATAACTAGAAAAATACGCTCCTCTTCTGTAAAAGAAGAACTAACCGTTAAAGTGCTTGTTACAAACCTAGTCTTTTTTGATACATCAGAATGAAGTATACCTGCACACGAAACGTTTTGCAAATGTTACAAATTAAAATAAGCGATTGTATACTCTTGTTCTCTCTCCTATCTTTTCCAGCTAACCTATATGCTTACAATTTAAAAGCTGGACGTCCACCCATAAAAGAGAAAATAAAAAATTAAATATAAAATTAAATTATTTCTGGAAGGATTTTTTCCTTATGATTTACAGCACAGCAATTGCTGCTTTTTAATTTTTTTTCAAAGGCATAGGCAGTAATTTTCAGACTCACAAATGTCGATACATTGCGATTCTAGAACAGCTCCAAGTTCAGTTTGAGAACATTTATATGGGCATTTGATACACTCTGTACTTCCTTCGTTTGGTTGGTATGTGCCGACAGGACAAGGGACACATGAACCATTGGACATGCCATAGTAGCCAGGTGCACAGTTAACTGCAAAATAGGAACACAAAAAACGGCATTTATGAACTGAAGTTCGTTATTCAGCCTCGGGTTTATTCTCATGTTTACTCTTGCAAGCCAGATACATTCGCATAATACAAGAAATTCCAGCCTTTTTTACTTACCTCTTTGCACGTGGAACTTATCTTCGAAATTCTCAATTCGTTTTCAAAGGTCCTAAGTTTTTCAACTCGCTAAGGCGTAAAATTCAAAACAGTGAAAGTACCAGTTTGTTTGGCAAAAGACTTCAAAAATTCCTTCTTTCCATGTCAAATGTACCCTTTGTTGAGCTACAGAACTTTTCATTTTTTATTTTTGTTGTTTTCTTTTTTTTTCTTGACTTTTCAAAATAATCATTTATCATTCAGTATCCTTAACTCACATGGTGTACCCTATAGAGTGCCAGGAGGCCTATAGTGTAAAGCCCGGCTTCTAAATAAGCTTCCTTGTCATCATATAATAGTGTCAATTGTGTTTAATATAATTATTATCAATTTCTTGTATATTGTTGATTTATTCTTATGTGGTTAATGGCAAAATAAAACAAATGAATGAATGAAATGAATGAGTTTGAGCAACGTCCATTATCTGACAATACAGGTTGAAGTTTCCCATTAACTACGATAATAAATAAATAAATATATAAATAGTAAAAATCTTGATAAACACGTCGTTTCACTTCTATCTGTTCTTGGGTAGATCGTTTTATGATTCAACTTAAAAAGTAAAATTTTAGAGGATGGACTAAGACTACGTACCGCAAAGAAATCCATTGTCATCGGCCTCTTTTCCAGCGGGACACTTTTGAGTGACAAGCTCAGCAGTGAAGCCTCCATTTTTGGGGACGAAAAGCTTTTTTTTCCTAATAAAGTGAAATTTCCTTCCCTCCAAAGCAGCGCGAAAATACCGTAAATCGCGGGCAAGTTTGTAACGTGAAAGGGAAAAGCTGTTAAAAGCAGCGATGAAGTCTGAACTGATATATGATGACACGTTGCTTTCATTGGCTGTGGTCACAAAGGACAACGAGAGATCTGACTGGGGACTGAAATCGAGTTTCTCTATTTGTTTCCATTCCCACCTCATCTTACCAGTGATCTCTCTGAAAAAGCTACGTACACCACCATAATCCAACTGCAGGGCACGCGTGTAATGGTGATTGGTACAGTTTGACGTGTTATATGGAAAATTGTCGAATGCGCATCTGGCAAATTTCAGAAATACGGCGATTCGTGGTAAGCCTGGAATAAATCCCAAGACATCAAGCCTCGCCATTCTGCTTCTTGTTGATCCACGTATGTTTGAAACATTACAGTAATAAAATCCCGAGTCTTGAGATGTGAGGTTTTTCTTTGTTAACAAGCGGTCAGAGGAATGCACCTTCACTATCGTACCAGTACGTGACATGAAAAACCACTCTATTGTTGGCTTAGGTTCCCCATCACCGCTGCATATCATTGTCAATGTTTCAGTTCCCACTAGAACGCGAAAGTCACTAGGATGAATAGTGATTCTTGGCGCTTCATGTACCCTAACAATGGTAACATTTGAAACAGTTACACCCCTGTTATTGGAAGCTTTGCATTTGTAAGCTCCTTCAGTTTGCCTATCCGCATTTCTTAAAACAAGCACTTCATCATGCTTGTCCTCTATAACCCTTTCGTTTCTTATCCAAACAATCTCTACTTCATTTGAGTTGATAACTAAGCATGTAAGGTTTACTGTGTCACCGGTCAGGATCACAACTTCTGCAGGCGAGCTTTTTAAGATGACTGGACTATTTCCACACAAAACCGAGCCGTCTATAGTTTTGTTCAGCAAGGCCTTGGCTCTAAGTGAAATTTCTTTCACTGAATCGAATGAAGAATTCCTTTGTAACAAACTGGTAAAAACTCTTTTCATTTCTTCGAGACTGTCTTTAATTTCGAGTGCCCGTTGACTATATTCGAATAGATAAAAGTCATTCAAGTTATAAAAGAAGAACTCCAGACAATCCTCAATTCCAGAACACTCTGTAAAGTTCTTGTCTCCTGTCAAAACATTGAGATGAACTCGCCACTGTTCAAGAATGCTTTCCCATTTTGTCGCACTTGTAATATTGACAAAATGATCTTTTAGGGACTGCATCATCTCGCTAAAGGTTACCTGAAGCTGTGGAGTAGACGAAAACGACTTTTTTACAGAATCTGTGGAATAGGAATCCACTTCCTCAATTCCTGATGATATGGCTTCAAAGTATTCATTTGTACTTTTAACAAGAAATTCCAAAGAGTCTATGACGTCTGCAAAAAGAGCATTTGCTTTGTGGGAGAAAAAGCACATACGTCGCACACTGTCCATGCCAATTCTGTCTTCCATAAACACGCCGCGCGTCGATCTTCGTTCTCTAGAATTCGTTTTTCTAAAGAGTGTCTGAACTACAAGCTTCGCGGCTGAAGCTAAGTAGTAGTCAAGCCTTTTGAATTCAATTGGGAACTCTATAAACTTGTTGCGCCCTTCAGCATCTTTTACAGATGCAACAAACGGTAGCAACGTTTTGCTGGTTGAAGTCATCGACGTGGAGAACGAAAGACTTTCCACGGAAATCATTTCCTTACCGTCCAGACTCTTTACTTTGTCCGCCAGTCTTATACCAAGTTTCTCTTGCTCCCTGATTTTGCTAATACTTAGGGATTCCTGGGCATTTTGACTCTGTTCAAGCATTGCAAGGGCAAGTTCGACTTGATTTGTTGCCATGCGCACATTTGTTCGAGCTAAATTAACCTCCATTTGAGCCAGATTTACTTGCCTTCCCATGTCTGCCATATTCTGGAAGTCTGCAAAGAGTGCACTCTCCTTATTGTGTAGTCGTTTTAACTGTTGGGCAAATTCGGTTATGTTTTCCCAACACTCGGAGTTGTGTTCAACACAATCTGGCTTTAAAATCTGAACTTTTTCTTTTATAGCTTTGTTGCAGCAGGCATAAGGTTTTTCGTGACCAGAAACGACTTCTATAGACTCGGCATTATTTTTACATTTATAGCTATTTACCTTGATCGTTTTATTTTCTGCTTTGAGTTTGAAGTTTGAGAAACATTCTTCCCTGATGTCGCCTCCTGTAGTAGTATAACTCTCATCGTCGATCCAGCCCCCTCCAGTTTTTGTAAACTTTTTGGGTGTAGTTACGTCGTAACATTCTTTTTCAGTATATTGTTTTAAGCGAACTACTGGAATTGACTCGATAACTCTCTCACAGATTGGTATAGTATACGTAGTCTTAACTTCCTTTCGGCACACGTCAGGTATGCACGTCAGTTGTAAGTCAGTGCTGTCACATTCTTTCATTTCACAAACATCCTGGTTCTTGAATTGAAGGTAGCGTAAAAGTGTCGAATTGAATTGTATCTTTCGTCGCGCATACGTAATTCGCTTTTCGACAAGATTGTTCGTCTTTTCGTCCAATATGTTAGATGCGTTGGCCAAGGTAATCTGCTTCACTTTAAGAATTTCTTCTGCATCTTTGGTTTTTCTTTTGGCATTAATATTTGCAGTTTCAGCCTTTTTAATCCTCCTTTGGGCGTTTTCTATTAGAACAAGTACATACTTATTGATTGTACTTTGAAGCTTACTTGGAAGAAGGGATGATTTAAGCATCTTTCCCTCTATCATATATAGTAGTGAGTTCCAGTCTTTGCTGTTTCTGATCTTTGCAACAACATTCACCTCTGTCGGAAATTTATCAAAAATTTTTCCGGTTACTTTAAGTGATAACTGATTATTATCCAAAGTTGCATTTGCCGGCTGACTCAAACCAAGAACTTGTATCCATGCCGTAAATGTCATAGTCACGTGGTCAGATTCACGGCCGAAAACCATGGTAATAGGTTGCCCTTCAGGAAGACTTAGAATTTTACCTGGGCTCATGGACACGATCTCACCCGTTTTACCGCTGACATAAAATTTTTGACCTGAAAATTGCTGGGAGCCACACCCGTACCCATCAAGGTGTGTAACTACTGTGTTTATGTTCTCCAAACATAGCTTTTTTATGCAGAGATTACTGCGAAGGTAGATTTTTACACCGAACAACCTTTGTTGAATACTTTCTCCTCCAAGTTTCAAGCGAACAGAGTATGGGAAATCTAACTGGAAGTCTTCAATCATGGCAAGTAAAGGTGAGGTTGGAGCTTTTAAGGAAACGCGCTGCTTTAAAATTCCCACGCCTGTTCGCACACCATAGATTTTTTCATTGATGTCTGCCATCAATTTTCTGACCTTCTTGATGTCAATGACTCGATTAAAGAAAAGTTCTCTACGGAATTCGCGAATCTTTCCACTTAACACAGCAGCCGTTTGAATCCATTTTTCTATAGTTACTTTATCTTTTGGAAGCGTCGAAATTGACTCCTGGAAAATTTCTTCTGCCTCCGGAACAAGGAATCTTAAGTTTGTCAGGGTACGCCGTATCTCTGCTTTATTACTCACTCTGTTTTGTCGTCCTTCAGAGTATTTAACCAGCGTTGCAAAATGAAGCTGTTGATTTTCTACAGGGCGTACATAAGGGTAAAATGGTGTTTTGAGGAACGCCCTATTCATATTTGTTCTAAAATTCAAGAATACTCCTTGCACCCTGTCTTTGCAGCTGTTGTCACCTAGTAATTGGAGCAAAAGAAAAAAAGAAATAAGAGCCAGCCGTACGACTGTAAATGTTCATGGTGATTAAAATAATGAAAAAGCTCATAAACAAAACCGTTGAGAACAGAGCTTGTTTATATCAAACGAACGACAACTGACTGTTTACATATAGCATTGCCCAGGTCCGATTTGTGCTATTCAGGATTGTTGGTAAGGGTTAGGGCGAAATGCCATTACAGAGTTTTCCCTCAAAGAATGAAGATCATCTTTATAGCACTTAATATTCTGAAAGCAAACTAAAGGGAATCATTTTATTTCCTACAAGGTATATGGCCGTCAACACACTCATCTGCCAGACAGCGACGACCTTCTGCTTTGTCCGGCCCTTCGATTCCGGTAAACCTATTACCTCCAAGCCTGGCCTTTCCTATCATATCTTCAGAAGCAAGTTCCAATTTGAAGTCCTGCCCTAGAGTCCTTCCTTTAATGCCAGCTGAGACTTTTCCTTTAAGTAGAATATCGAGTGGCCGAGTCAGACGATCAACAAATATCTGTTAAAAGAGTAAAAACAAACAAACGAACAATGTTCAACTGAAACAAAGAAAACGTGAAACTTAGAAAATGAAATTAATATGTTTTTATCGTTGACTTGACAACCAACTTACGTCATCAATTTTGTGGTAGTGATTAAAGCTCTCTCCCGTGATGTGGAATTTCACTTCTAGATTTGCAGGTATCTGCATCTTCCACGTTACGTCTCCCCTTAACCACATGTTGTAACTGAAAGGTGACACCTCCTCAAATTGCATCCCATTCCAAATCTCTCCTCCCTTAACTTCATAAGTATCGAAACTCTCCAAAAGGCCAAGCGAATCAACTTTGATATCAATGCCCTTCTCTTTCATATCTCGAAAAGCCGCAAGCCTATCATTTATCTCACTGGCTGAGTGTTTAGGAAAACGTATAAAGACAGATTGCTTGCAAACGTCGGCTGCAAGGCAAGTGTCGCCTTCTGCAGACAAGGACACTGGATCGCCGGAAACCCAAAATTGGTACTTTGCGGTTGGACGAATGTACACAATACTTGACGATTGATTAAGCGGAAAGACGGAGCAATGTCCCTCATTGAGTTCTGCTTTTTTAGCAACGTTTACGGCGATGTTTTGGATGTCGAATACGTTATTTTCCTCCTCAGTATTAAGATGTAGCCATTTAGGAGACATTCTGGAAAAGGTGCGCAAGAAAGAAGAGACAAGTGCGTCATCGTTAATCAACTCCAAAAGATTCTCAAAAGTCATTTCCCTTTGAACGCACAACCCATCACTTGTATGGAAGTCATTTTGTGCTTCACTTAAAGACATGCGTGCAGATATTGCTTGACGTAACGATCTTTTAGATAACTGAAGCTCAGTCAAACTTAAACCAACCATGGATAGTGGAATATAATGGTTGAAAGGGGTCTTTATGTGGACAATGCCCTTGGTGGAAGGGGAAGTATCAGTCCATCCTGCTGAAGACAAGAACCGTAATTCGCATGATGAGGATCTGGATAAGTACTCATTACATCCAACTGGCAGTTCTCCTTTAGGAAGAAACAACTTTGAGTACACACTGGAGTTGACCATCACGCGAGGCTTGACTAGAAGAAAGCGTGGTTCAGGGATCTCGAAATCACCTACACTAAGACCTCCCAAATCAAAAGAGATTGTTTGAATGCCTGCTTTCTCAGATTCAACAAAGAATTTCTGCTTAGTTTCCGGATATATAATCTCGAGATAGGATGACGGATAAAACGTCACTCCATTTTCAGCAAATAGGGAAATTGTCAGCTTATTGGATGGCCGAGCAGAAAGTTGAAGGGCCTCGGACTTAGAGCTTGCTGATACTTTTGGAAAAACTGGTGTTGTAACGAAACCTTTTTGACACTCGCCTCCCTCGTAACCAGTTCCTTCACACTCACAAGTAAAGCTTTGATGCTGGACCTTACATTTCCCACCGTGCTTGCATGGATTTGGTGAACAGCTTTTCAGTTCTGTTTAATACAAAAGGAACGTGTCAGTTCAACGTTTGTTGTGGAGGTATGAAAGGAATTCAAAACATTTAAATTTATGATGAATCGATGATTTATGGCCGTATTACTATAAATTATCGCGACACTATCGTATCGAGAAATTTAAATATGTGAAAAATGTGGCTTTAAGATCTCGACAAAACAACCGACGTATAAGAAACGAAAAATCCTTTAAATAACGCTAACTGTCAGCAGTGATTAGCTACATCAGCCCTTTTAGTGCTGCTTTGAAGTCAACTTTTGGAAGGTTAAGTATCTAACAAGAAATGTAAGGGAGCTTAAGCAACGTCCACGAAGACAACAATGAAAACGTCGCTAAAAAAATGAATCTGCGTTCTTTCAAACTTTATGGCATTTTTGGACCCGCTTAAGAGCGGCTTCGCGTAATTATTAACTAGACGAGGAAATAGTCAAAAAATGACCTGACCTCAAACTCAGCCAAAATAAAGCCTTATAGGCCCTAGTTACAAAATCGTTGGTTTAAGTACGATCGAGTGAATAATATTTTTTTAACGAATTTTTTTCTTACCGAGGCCTAAAATGGGCTAAAATCATACGAAATTAGAGTCATATTCAGTGGTTACATTTTAAAATAAAGTTGCCAACTAAAATATAATGACACTTAACATTTTTGCTATCTTTCCTCCATAACTTTAACTGATTAGTTCGCGATTTGGTCAACAAGAGATTTTTAAAGAAATTTTCAAAGTTGTTAACTCAAAATCGCTTAATCAACCGTCCAAATTTAGCACTTTTTCACGAGCTAAAAAAGCGGATTGGTACATGGCTTTGAACACCAAGGCTTGTTTAGCCTGAAAGAGCATTCTTTTTTCTTCAAATCAGCGGAATAAATTGTTTGAGTAAATGAAATCACGAGCGCTGACAAAGCGAAGCAAATGTAAATGTTACACTAAAAACAGGCGAAAAAACCTGACCTCTGACCGAAGCACAAGTAAATGCGAATTACGGTAGGCGCCAAACCTTTAATTATTCGGTAACTTCTCGAATCAATATGGGTCCGAAATGTGTATAGGTTTTTAAAAATAAAGCCGAGTTAAAGTATTAAGTGTCAAAAAGTCCACAAAGCCGTAAAAACTACAACAAAAGTCACGAGTAATCTGTTCCGTTTTCTGAATTTTATGCAGCGATTTATGCGATTTAACGAATTAACAACTTTTAATCCAACGATACCCACCTGAGACTGTGTTAATTTAAGAGTCCACAGAAATTCTCAGAAGACTCTTCGGAAAGACCTCCAGAAGGGAATGAATGAAGAATTTGAACTTAGCTTATAACTGCAACAATTTCACCTGCCGCCACGGCAAAACGAAAACAACCGTCGACCTGCCACAGGCAAATCAGCTTTCAGTGCAGTCATGCAAAGCATGTCACGTGACGTAATTCTGCCCCGTGCATTCGGGAAGGAGTGAAGAAATTCTTCCATGCTGTGCACTAAAACATTTATGAAATAAAACTACCTTTGGACTGTATCTTTTGAAACTAGTTAAAGAAAACAATAACTTTTTCCCTTGTTTTTATGAAAACGTCAACAGTGAAACGTTTGACATTAAATTTACCAACTGATGCACCCTTCTTGATCGAAGGGCGCTGTGCACTTCGTTTATTTTATCTGCCGTTTGTAATGAATGTGTTTTAAGTTCAGAACGTGCATCTATAGCTAGCAATTGGTGTGTTAGGATTACCGAATGCTGTAGAAAAGATATCAAAGGGCACCAACGCAGTAGCGGATCCAGAGGGAGGGTCCGGGGGTCCGGACCCACCTGATACTTGTTTTAGACTAAAATGCTTACAACGATAGGATCTTATATCACTGTTTAACTGGCTGAATTTTTTATTGAAACGCGTGTTGTATTTTGCCATTAAAATAAATTCTAGGGGTATTAAAAAATGTGATTGTCTTTGGGTACCGTCAGTAATCTGTTCTCCTCTACTCGCCAAGCAGTATTTCCCGCGCCAACGGCTACTGGATTTCACAGATTGAAAAACACGTAGTCGCCTTCTCAGTGACTGGTGGGAGGGGGTGTGGGGGGAAAGTAATTTTCCACAAAAACGTTTAACAGTCCTTTCTGAACCAAAATTTGGACCTCCTTCCCCCCTCCCCAATAAAAAATTTCTGGATCCGCCCCTGCAAAGATGTCACACTGAGTTCGGAGCCAATCAAGTCTTATGCTGGCGCGTGCAAGTAAATCAATTTTTTCGAGTTATATTAGAGTTTCACTTATAGCACGAAAAACACAGTATAATTTTATGAATATGTAATATGAAAATTGTGCCTGATCATAGGTATCCTAGAGGAACAAGAGACATATTTGTTGCAAGCCTTTCTAATCATTCGGTTTCCTGTGGTTCGGTAGTTCCTTGTCCCATCCCGACTAAAAGCCAACAACAGGGAATGAGCTCTCCGGAAGCCCATGAACTAGTGGCCGCATCCGAATCTCAAAAAAAGATTTGGATAAGTAAAAAGGACAAAATCGAAGGAACTGATCTGCGAAAAGAGAAAACAAAGCCAGTACAAACAAAATTAAGAATATACATGATACCATTTTTTTCCGATATTAGTCGGTTTGCAACACAAACCTTTGTCGGGGGCTGATACTGTGGGGTCGTTACCAAAATTGAATTTAAAACTAAAGTGCATAATTAATATATAGATTTAGCCAGGGCTAAAAGCGAAGCTCACTTTAATAAATTAATAATTTAAATAAAACAATAAACATTAATCAGTTAACTTTAAGGTACATTCATGAGACTTTTGAGGGAAAGTGATTCCTTAGAGAAGAATAATTTGACAGTCCAAGAGTGAAACAAATTTTACATCAAGTTAATAGTCTTTTATATATACACCGAAAAATAACCGAATCTTCTTCCATCACAGTAGATTAGGCCCAGAAATCAAATTCTCCCCAAGCAAAAGAAGTTAAACCCAGTCACCCACCTACAATGCCCTTATTTTATAAGGTTAATTCATAGTATCTCCAACAACTCCGTTGGAGATCGTAGAGACTATGGAGATAATTGGATATCCCCGAAACATAATTTTATGCAACACAAGAGAGTCCTCGGTTGCAGGGGCCCGGTTGCAGCCAATTTACACGTTGCATTCCTCTGTCTAAAAGGAAGGCCAAAACAATAATAATAATAATAAAGAAAATCAGGCCGGTCTTTTTGTGTTTCGAAAAAGATTTGTGTTCTACAGGTTTACTTTACAAGTAAATCTTGAAAACAAATCTGGTGGTGCCTAGTATTTTAAACATATCTTTTATCAGTGTTTTTATACAGTCATAGGATCTGAGGAAAACGGTGCTATGCCTGTGTGCCTGTTTTTGATCATACAAACCTCGAACAGAATTTGTTTTTCCTTGCCCTATTCAAACCTATAATTCTGCAGTTTTTCACAATTTTGCAAGACAAATTGCGCTCGTTCAATATCCAGGACGATCGAAGCACGCGCTTCCTTTGAGCAAAAAATTATAGAATTGACCACATTATAAAACGTCTTCATCAAGGGAATTTTCCATAACACCGGGACTGTTTAGTCGGAAAAATCTGCTCCTATGTGATATGTAGGGTAATAATAATGGGCTTTTAGTGAGAACGATCAAAAAATTCCCAAAATCACCTATACGGCCAGCCGGACAGGCTCTCACATTTGTCGAGCACCAAATTTGTAGTTCGAGCTGTCGGAGCCGTTTGAATGAACATTTAAGCTTCAGCATGATAGAGAAGTCAACTTATTGTGTTAGGTTTTATTTCCCTTTATTTATGGTTTTGTTATGTGAAATTTACGTGCGGCATTTTGAGTACTCCTGCGTGAGATGTTTTGTTACATGTTCGACTGAAAACAATATGCGCGGCGATTAAATTGAGAAGGGGACTACTAACAATCAGTAAAATAAATATAACTCGGTGAAACACGTACAGAGACAACAATTTTCATTCACGACGATAAGTTTTGAGAGTAAGTGTCCCTGAAAATCATGAGCATAAGCTCATAAACTTCAAAAATCTTGCAGATTTAAGCCGGCTTCCCGATGTTTACTTCAAGATAAACCGCGAGGCAAGAATATCGCTCAGAGCTTTCTTTTTACAGCCAAAAGCATAACTAAATACATTGTATTCTTCGCAACGTTTTCTTTATGTCAAACCGGATGCTATTGTAGATCATTGTCCTGTGCATAAACTAGGCGCAGAAACTACTCTCGACTTTAGGAAACCAGAAAAAAAAAACACATCAAATACAATAACAACTCAGGCTTACCAGTCAAGATGCTCCTGAAGGCCATCAGAATCGCTTGAGCCTCTATTGAATCCTCTTCATAATACGCATTAAGCAAATGCAAGGGGAAGTGAGTAAAAGCGATCCATCCGAAATAGGATTTCCGATGACTATGACAAGCGGCGCATTTCTCAACCAAAAAACCAATAAACAAATTCGCCATGAATAACTTAAGAATCTTGCTAACATCTGTATTTCATTTTGTGCATCCAGTAGAAAAAGACAGTTAAAAGCTTCACAACGTTTATACACAAATCTCCGTCAGTTTCAGCTATCAGTAAACAAGTTCCAAGATGCTGCATAAATTTTCCGCAAGAACTCACCTGTCAACTTTTGACAAATCAGAACATAAAAATTGGACGTAGAGCGTGACCAACGCGTGACCATGGTGAGAAAGGTCAAAAGCAACTTCCCTGTGTGTAAAAGCTGGCTGAATTCTCGCGTCAGAGGTCAGTTTGAAATTAAAAGTTTAATAGTGTGACTCATAAACACAACTTCCTATTTCCTATGCGTTAAAAAAATTGAACTTGAGCCTGCAATCATTTGCAAAGTAGTAACCTGTCAGCGGATAACTTCAAAAAACTTCGAACTAAGTGGTATGTACTTTAAGTAGGTTATTAAAGTGTATCAAGAATGCATTTAAAATAATGTACTAACATGTTTTG